CAGGTCCTTCCCCGTCGCTCGGCCAGGCACCGTTCCTAATGCCGTGACCTAGTCGCTATTCTTGGTCCCAGAATCTACCTTCACATCCTGTCCCGAAGCCTATCCAGCCTCAAGTCCTAGGCGTTTCTCCAGGTACTGCCTCCACCCACTGGGCTTCCAGCCACACTCTCTGGGTTGCACCACCAAGTTAGGCCTCTAGCCCCGCCCACAAGCACAAGCCCCGGTCGGGAGCCCTGCCCTCTCTGAACCGGACCCTCTCCCCTAGGTTAGGTCTATGGCCCCGCCCCCACACACGCCGCGCCCACTCTGAACTAGGCCCCGCCCCTTAAAGCTCCGCCCCCAGACCCGGGCCTAGCCCGCGTTCGCAAGCCCAGGTTCTACCCTGGTCTCTGGCCCGGCTCTCAGGCTTTGGCTTGGTCACCACCCTGTGGGTTTCACTCTGGCCCACCTAGCACCTTGGCCCCGTCCCAAGGCCATCTTCGGACGTTTCTAGCTTAAAGTCCCCCAATCCTCAAAGCCGAGGGCAGCCCCTTCTGAAGGTCACGATCATAGAGAGGGCCCCCGGGCCAAACAGGCGACGGCTAACGAGACCCGAGGGCTAGAACGGCCCGCCCAGCCGGCCGCTGTCTCTATGGCAACCAAGCCCTGCCCCCTTTCTCTGCGTGTTTAGGAAACACGTGTATCGCCGCTGGAGGGCCTGGTTCGCGGGCTCGCAGGGCCCGAGTCTTAGATGGAATCCGGATCCCTATCTCCGGTGACCAAGAAAATCCCAGTGCACACCCAAGGCCCTCCTGGGCTGCATTCTTGCCCCAGTTTGTCCTAAATCCAAGCCCCAAAGCCTCTTCGGTCTTAAACACTCATTCCAGGGACCTGGGGAGTTCTAAACTCACTCCCTAGGGCCTCGGAAGGTTCTAAATCTACACCCGCCCCCTAGTCTTAAACGTGTATGTCAAGGACCCAGCTAATCCTGAATCCATCTCAAAGCCTTGTCAGTTAAGTCTCAATGTCACACCCCAGGAGCCCGGGGAGGACACGCCCAAGTCCCCAGGAGTCCTGTATTTGCGCCTCAGGGTCCTCAGTGCTCACCCAGAGGCCCTGAAAGTCTTCCTCCTGACCAGGCGCGGGCCAGCACTGGCCTGGCTGCCCGCGACTCTGTCTTCTGGCTGACCTGAGCCGCAGGCAGACCCTCACTCTTGGCTGCTCCTTTGTGGGCTCCCAGAAGCTCAGGCAGGAGGCAGGCAGGGACTCCGAGGCCGGGCCAGGGGTCTCCAAGCCTAGCCCAGGCAGGTGGGCCCCCTCCAGGGCTTCTGCTTCTGCAGACTCCTGGGCGCTTCTTGCCTGCCTGCCTTGGGTCCCTCCCTTCAAGTTTCCCCTCTTCTGCCCCCCTGCCCACTCCACCCGTGCTTGTTTTCTGCTCGGCTTTTTTTCAAGCGCTCTCCTTGGGAGGTGGCCAGGGCCTGCTTCCAGAGACACTTGCAGGACAGGGCTGGGCAGGCACTCCCATCCCATCCCATCCACAATGCCATTGGACCCTGCAGGCAGCCCGGGGTGGGTAGTATGGGGGGCGTGAGGCGGATCCAGTAGACAGGCCTCGAGCCAGCCACTGGCCTGGTACTTTTGTTGCCAGAGATGAGCAGGGAAATCAGCAGCGACCAGTTACTACAGTGCACTCTGATGCTGCCAGAGAGCACTACTGTGATCACTCCATTTGACAGGTAAAGAAACTGAAGACTGGAGATGTCAGTAGCTTAGAGTTGAGATTCACTCGTTCACAAATGTTGGCTGAGTGCCTGCTGTCCCTCCTCTCTTCTTCCCCCTCCTTCATATGTTCCACTCTTCCCCCCGTCCTGTCTCCCTGTCTCCTCAGTTCTCCTCCCCTCTCTTTTCTTTCCTCCCTCCTCTTTTCCCCCTCCCTTCCTCCCTTCCCACCTCTCCCCCTGTTCCCCTGCCTTTCCCTCCCCCCTTCTTCCTCTCCACCTTACCGAGTTTACTAAGCCCTGATTAAGCAGCGTGCACCTGACCATCTCTTGCAACTCTCCCCATAGCTCCTCAGTCTGTAATCCCAAAGTCCAAAAGGCTTTGGAAACCCAGCTTTTTTCCTAAGGTGGTTCCAGAGCTCTAGCAGGGAAACCACCAGTCCTGTGCTGAGCCAGGCTGATCATGGTGGTCAGTTTTCCTCTTTTATCCCCATTTACCTCTTTGCTTATTGGCTGCCCCAGACCCCCAGGGGAATCACATAGTAGACAGCAGCCATTAGCCCCCAGTTACCTTCCTAAAACGTGAAAAATTCCCAGTTCTGAACACAACCATCCCCAAGGAATTTGGATGAGGAATTGAGGACCCTTTAGGAAACAGGCCTGGATAGGAGAGTAGAACTCAGACTTTGGGGCCAAACTGCTATTCACCCCTCTCCAGCTGGGTAGTCTTCAGCTGGTCACCTCTCCCCTCTGCACTTTGGTGGCTCACTGGGTGACAACACCCTCCTTCCTCCTCCTGGGAGCTGTGCATAAAGCATTTGTTGATTACCTACTGCGTACTGGCTCCCAAGAGGCCCTACCCTGGGTCCCCACAAGGGCCTGCCACAGTGAGGCAGAACAGAATAGGTTCATGAGCCAGGGAGGCTGCTCATAAATATTCAGACTGGATCGGCACTAGCAGTTAACGAACCCATAATGAGCTGACCTACTAGTCAGTGCTATGCCTGGAACTTTACAGTTTATAAAAACCACTGCACCTGTGCACTAGGAGGAACGAAAGTGCAGATGACCTCTATATGACCTTCCATCCGTGACATTAGACTGGGAAGAACAAAGTTAAGGAAAAAGTGACTCCACCACCCATGACCAGAAACTTCAGAAACTCAGGGACACATGACAGGAGCTGATGTAAACTCTCATGGGCCTATCAGACCTTAATTACCCTAGATCCTCCCACTGTTAGGACAGAGGAACACCCTTATTCCGGAACAACACATAAACCCTCCCCTTAGGAATCCGCAGGGTGCTCCTCACATGTTGGGGATGCCTGCACAGGCTTCTGCATGTACTTTCATTTTGTAATAAAGTCCTACTGCTTGAATGTTCTGTCTGTCTTTCCCGTTTCCTTTTCTTTTGCTGTTGGCACCAGTACAGACTTCACTCAGTCCTGTGATTTTTCTCCATAGTTTGACCAAGAACCTGGAACTGCCATCTGGTAATAGCAGAGAGTTCTTGGAACTTCCCAGAAGAACAAGAGAAAATAAGCAATACTGTACTGAAATAAAATATCAAAAGATCATAGTGTGGGGGTTTCACTGTAAGTAGAATCTGAGCCATGTAGAAGTGAATGATTTCCCTCAGACAAATCTGAATGCTCACCACAGTAGCAGTATGAGCTTCCTGTGGCTGCTGTAACAAGTACAACAGCCCACGTGGCTTAAAACAACAGCCATTTATTCTCTCACAGTTCTGGAGGCCAGACATCTGAAATCAAGGGCTGGCCCGTTAGCTCAGTTGGTTAGAGTGTGGCCTTGTAACACAAAGGTCAAGAGTTTGGTTCCCCCAGACCAGCTAGCTGCTCTCTCAAAAAGTCTGAAGTCAAGGTATTGGCAGCCTAGAGTGTGGTGTTGACAGCAGCAAGGTCAAGAGCTTGTATCCCCATAAGGCCAGCTGCCAAAAAAAAAAAAAAAAAAGACACGGTGTTGGCAGCTGCCTTGGAAAACTCCAGGGGAGGACCCTTCCTGCCTTGGCTTGTGGCCACATCACTCTGGTCCCTGCCTCCTGCCTCCCTCCCTACATGGCTGGCTGCTCTCCCCTGTGTCTCCTCTTCTGTCTCTTATAGGGATTCTTGTCGTTAGATTTATGGCCCACCCAGATAGTCCAGGATGATCTTAACTCAAGATCCTTAACTAAATGACATTTGCCAAGACCCTTTTATCCCAGTAAGGCCCCAATTATAGGTTCTGGGAGTTAAGGCATAGACTTATCTTTGGAGGGGGAGGGGTTGATTATTCAACCCACTATAGCAGGAGAAAGGATTCAAGCCTTAGCTCTCAACAGGGGACGACTCTGCCCCCCTGGGGACACTTGGCAACATCTGGACACATTTTTTTTTTCTTTTCTTTTTTCTTTTGGTGGCTGGCCAGTGCAGGGATCTGAACCCTTGGCCTTCTGGAGACATTTTTAATTGTCGCAATTTAGAGTGTGGGTGGGCACTAGTGGCATCTAATGAGCAGAGGCCAGGGATACTGCTAAACGTCCTGCAGTGTACAGGACAGTCCTAACTTGCAAATAATGATCCAGCCCCAAATGTCAAGGGTGCTGCAGTTTGACAGATGAGAGCCTTGGTCAGATTAGATTGGGCTCTGCGGTCTGACAGATGTCATTAACTTGAGTGACTTGGCCACATCAATGAGCTTCTCCAAGGCTCAGTGCTTCTCTTGTAAAATGGGATAAAGTTGCCAGGACCTCGTAAGGCTGTTCTCGTTTTGTTTTGTTTTGTTTTGTTTTTTGGCGGCTGACCAGTATAGGAATCCAAACCCTTGACCTTGGTGTTTAACTGTTCTCCATTATTGACATCATTTTGCTCTCAGTTAACTTTTTGAGTTCACAACAGGCTAGCCTTCCCAGGGTTCTGGTGAAGTGAGGAGAATCCCACCAGGAAATTGTTAATAAGTCTAATGAAAAAGTGACCCGCCAAGGATGGGCCCATTCACACAGCTTTGGCCGCGTGTGTTAAACTCTCGGGAATAGAGATATTGCCCTTTCCTTTGTATTGTTTAAAACCAGTACAGTTGGTCCTCCCTGTGTGTTTTTCTTAACTCATTTGCAAGGTCTGTCCCAAGAAGGGACACACGGGCAGCCCTGCCACACACCCCACCCCCACCCTTGGAGGCGTCTCAGAACCAGGCCAAGGTTTAGGCAGATTAGTGAGGTCCTAATCTGGCTTCCTAAAGATTCCTATTTTAGGGAGAGGAGCCAGCCAGCAGGCTCAGGGACACAGCACACAGGGTCCCTCCACGCTGTCCCCAGCACCCATCCGAGGCAACCATGGCCTCCCTGTTCTCTGGCCGTGTCCTGATTCGCAACAACAGCGACCAGGACGAGCTGGACACAGAGGCCGAGCTCAGCCGCAGGCTGGAGAACCGGCTGGTGCTGCTGTTCTTTGGTGCTGCGGCTTGTCCACAGTGCCAGGCCTTCGTGCCCGTCCTTAAGGATTTCTTTGTGCGTCTCACAGACGAATTTTATGTGCTGCGGGCGGCCCAGCTGGCGCTGGTGTATGTGTCCCAGGACTCCACAGAGGAGCAGCAGGACCTGTTCCTCAGGGACATGCCCGAGAAATGGCTCTTCCTGCCCTTCGAAGATGATCTGAGGAGGTGAGGTGGGGTGGGGAGGTCAGGGAGGACTTCCTGGAGGAAGGGGCATCTCCACTGAACATGAAGCATTTGTTGATGGATTTGTCCATTCCATCTGGGGTGAAATGAGCAGCCCCCACGTGCCAGTCTGTGTACCAGGAACTAGGGGTACAGAGAGGGGACACACATCCGCTTCCATCCCCCCTCCAGGAAGTTTACAGCCTGGTGAGGGAGACAGATGTGAAATGAAGACTCAAATAAATACATAATAACAAATTGCACTAGTGCTCAGAGGACAAGAGTCCAACAAGTAGGAATATAGCAGGGAAACTGCTGAGATTCAGGGGTCAATAAGTAGCTTTAAAGAGACACTCCAAGGAGAATGGAGATAGGAGGGTGAAGACTGAGGAAAGAGAAGGGTTTCCAGGCAGAGGGCACAGCACAGACAAAGACAGTTCAGGGAAACTAAGAATTCTGGGCACCACGTGGAGCAGAGCCACCTGAACGGGTGCGAACATGAGTCTCAGAGTACTAGGGAGCCATAGAGGATATTAGAGCTGAGGGAGAGAGGTAGCTGGAGTCAAGCTTTACAAGGAGATACCCCAAAACAGTATTACAATTTGTGGCTATTTTAGAACATTCCCCTTTTCTGCAGTAAGACCCACTTTCTTTCTTTTTTAACTCCTACTTTTTATCACAAAAACATTTCAAACATAGCAAAAAATTGAAAGAAGCAGACAATGAAATCCAAAGCAATTGTTCACATTATTGCCATATTTGATTTGTCTACATGAGTGTGTAGTTTGGGCTGAACCATCTGAAGGCGATTTGCAGACTCCGTGACATTTTACCGATTTCATGCATTTTGTTACACGACAAGGTGGAAGTTGCTGGTCATGGAGACCTTCATTCTCCACCTAACATTATCATAATTTGGACAGTGCTTACACCCACAGCTCTCTGCAGCTGAGGGGGTCCCTCCACCAAACTGGCAAGAAACGGCAGCAACAAGGGCATTGCAGACAATCACTGACCTTGTTTGAGGCAGGGCTCTCTCAACATTCACCCAGGATAGTATCTTATCTGGACAGTCTCCACCCCACTACTCCTGTGTAGAGTTGCCAGATGAAATACAGGATGCCCAGCTAAATTCAAATTCGGATACCAACAAATAATTTTTTAGTATTAAGTATATTCCAAATATCGCACGGGACACGCAAATAAAAAGTTATTTGTTGTTTATCTGAAATTCAAATGTAACAGGGTATCCTGTATTTGTAACTGCTGTATCTGGCAACCTACTCCTGTGGGATTTTACAAGTGCCATGTATTCTCCATGTACCAGCCTGGGAAAGGGCCACCCAAGAACCCAGTGAGCTGAAATTAAACACCATGGGTGATGAGCCCAGTCTGGCAGCCCCCTGTACTCCTCGATGAGTGTGGGAGTGTGTGTGTTTGTGGCCTAAAAGGGGGGTATGGTTTCTGGTCTCCTGGGGATACAGACAGCTCCTCAGTGGCCTCCCCTAACACTAAGAACAAAATTGAAAGTCTGTACCATGACCCTCCACAGCTGTACCCCAATCACCTTCCAGACTCAGGGCCTTTGCTCATGCTGTGCCCTCTACCTGGGACACCCTTCCACCCAGTTCTCCTCCTCCTCATCCCACAGATCTCACCTCAAACGTCACCTAGTTGGGGCTGGCCTGCTAGCTCAGTTGGTCAGAGAGGGTTCGGATCCCTGTACCGGTCAGCCACCAGAAAACAAAACAAAAAGGTCACCTAGCTGGAGAGGCCCTCTCTGACCAGCAGCCATTTACCCAGCTTAATATTTCTTCACAGCATTTATCAGTATTCATTCATTCATTCTGTCATCCCGCACACATTTCCTGAGCACTTACTCGGTGCCCCGCCCTGTTCCAGGCACTGGGGACACCAGTGAATAGACACTGAAACCTGAGTCCTTGTGGGTCTACGATTCTGTCGTGGGAGAAAATGATAAGCAGGAGAAATAAATTATACAGAATGTTGGTTGCTGAAAGTTACCAGGGAGAGAAACCTTGCACAGAAGGGGGAAAGGGAAGGGTTTTGGTTGGAGGTCTGCAGATATCGGGAGAATGCTCCAGGCCAGGGCACAGCCAGTACAAAGACCCCAGGGCAGGAGTGTGTCGGGAATGTTGGAGACACAGCCTGGAGGCCAAGGGGCCCGGGTCCCTCCAGGCCCTTGCATGTCCCCAGTGCCCAGCATGGGGCAGTGCATAACAGAAGGTGCTTAGTAAGTACTGGGAGGAGGGTTGTACTCGGTAAGTACTCGGCTCCGAGTCACGGACGGGGGTCGGACCGGCCTGACCCGCCCGCCCCGCAGGGACCTGGGGCGCCAGTTCTCGGTGCAGCACCTGCCGGCGGTCGTGGTGCTCAAGCCGGGCGGGGACGTGCTCACGAGGGACGCGGTCGCGGAGATCCAGCGCCTGGGCCCCGCCTGCTTCACCAACTGGCAGGAGGCAGCTGAGCTGCTGGACCGCAGCTTCCTGCAGCCGGAGGACCTGGACGACCCGGCGCCCCGGAGCCTCACGGAGCCGCTGCG